TCTTTCTTCTCCCACTGTTACAGTTCTATCCACAACATTTACGTCAAAGAATCACCTGACTTATATTTGAACATCTCTGGTGATAGACAATGCTTTCTTAAATTTTTGAGTCAACCTGTTCTGTCTTGGATACCTGAATTTAAAAATTTGTCTTTATGTTAAATTTACTTACACCTACACTCAAAATTCCACTGAAACCACAGCAAAATCTGTTTGCTTGTTCTTTCTGGGGACAGGCCTTGAAACATCTGAAAACAAAGATGATCAGTCAATTTTTCAGTCCTATTCATCTGGTCAACATTTATTATTTCTGGAATTCCCATCATATAAAAACCAAGTATTTTACTTATGAAAACAAGCCAGCTCCACATTCTTTGAGATGTCTGCTTCAGATCCATAAGTTCAGAGGACAGAAAAGAAAGAAAGCATAAGGAGCCGAATATGTTACCCATTGTTTGATGTTAGACTCACTGATTAGGTCAGTTTTTAACATGCTTCTAACACGCAATTCACAGAGAAATGTTCTTGTCTCTCTTCCAGGAAACTTTGAATATCAACATATTATTCTTCTCAGAATATTATAACAAACTGTTACTGGTTAAACTTTTTATTACTTTACTTTTCCTTTTGGGAAGAAAAAAAAAATTAGGTTTACAGATTGCAAGTTCACAGTTCAGGATGAAGCAGCCTCATTAGTCTGGTATCTGGTAGAATGGTGGAGGCTGGCAATGGTGAATCAGATGTGGAGGAGTGATCACATTGTGAGCCAGGAAACAGAGAAAGCACTTAGTCCAATTTGGCTTAAGTAACCAATATTGTTGTAAGAGCTACCTTCAGGGGGCAAGCCAGTAATGACGACCTTTCAGATGCCGTATTTAGAACTAATCTCTACCTTTGACTCATCAAATGTCAAAAATAAGACTTCAGAGTTTGAACATCTGCGTGAGTTTAGGGAGCCAAGTCATGCTCAGTCCATTGCACTCAATTTCTGGCTCCTTCCCCTCCCCGCCAAGACTGGAATTTTTCTTGCGTGTAATCAACAGTTATTCCATCTCCTAAAACCTTAACTCAGTACAATGGTAAAATTGAAAAGTCCATTGTTCTTGGTTTGGTCTAGGACTCAGGGCTAGTTCTCTCAGCTATGAATCCCTGAAAAATGAAATTCAAGTTACTTACTTGCAAAATACAGTGGTGAAGCAGGTACAGGGTGTACATCTCTATTTTGAATGGAGGAGAGAGGAAACAGGAAGCATTTCCAGGACAAACGAAAGAACAGAAACCAACAGGGCAAACATTAAGTACTAAAATTTCAAGTTCTACATCCTGTTGGGAGATGGGCTGTCAAGCGTGTGAGCAGCCCCAGCCCTCTGGCTTGGCTGGTCATAGCACGTGCCTGTCCCTCATTAGGCATTGCCCTGTTGAGAACTCTGGTGGCTCCAATCCAACATTTCCGGTTTTTATTGCCTTAGTTGAAGTTCCTTGTGGTGACACTGCCCCTGAACCCATCTCTGTCAGGATGCCCAGTTTGACCAAAACATCCTGTGAAATAGAGGTGTAAAGTGCTGGAATTGTGACTCAATGGATTGGGCCACTGTTTTCATTGTCAGTATTCATTTTCATAGTGCTGGTTCCAGTTCTGGCTTACCAACTTCTGATTTAACACCCTACTAATTGCCTGGGAAAACAGCAAAAGATGAGCCCAATATTTGATCCCATGCTACGCATGTGGGAAACCTGGCTGGAGTTCTGGCTCCTGGCTTTGGCCTGGATCAACCCTCATCACTGAAGCCATTTGGGATGTGGATCACAGGACACAAGATTTGCTTCTTTCTCTATCTGCCAAATGCAAATAGATATTTTTAAAAAATCAGATTTTCAGAGGCACATTAGAACTTTTGTCAAACTTGATCCTACCTAGACTGGAAAGTTGTTTGCATTACTAAAACTCCAAAAGCTTTGGGAGATTGTTTGTGTTATGGTTTGAATGTTATTAGCTGTGCTAATATTAAGTTCATCTCTTTATAATGAAATTCAAGTCCATCACTTGAATTCCCATCAGCATATTTTCAAATGCAATACAGAAAGCCTGATGTTATTGCTACCATTGCAAAATATCAGTCAGTTGTTGAGTACTCTGAAGGCTGAGGTTACTGACTTGAAAAAGTTTTACAATCTAAAGATCAAGGCAAGACAATTGAGATGACACATGGATTGTTACGAGAAAGATTCAAGAACATCTGTAAGAATAAAAACTTCGTGATGTGCTCATTTTCCCTAAATATATGAGGTCCAGTCAGTGAACGTCACTGCCCTCCCTACTCAAATCTTCAATCACCTCACAAATTTATTGATACTAAAAAGCTACAGACATGTAATCAGTATCTCAAAGTATCAGATATCTAACATCATAAGTATTAATTATATGAGAAATCTGTTTGGGAGGAACAGCTAAAAGAGGCTTCACAACAACAGAAACAGGTAGAGCAATAAGTGAGGCACTTAAGAAACAGAAGTGAACAAAAAGGTATACACTTTGAAATCACTTGACATTCATTCTTTCCACAAATGTCTATCATTTATCATCTACGACTTGAGGTGCACTGCTTAAGATGTTTGGGCTATAGCATTGTCAAAGTACATTGTGATTTTTTTTTTTCTCACAGAACTACATTCTGGTGGTGAAAAGAAACACTTAAACAAATGAACAGATGTTTTATATTAGTGTGATAGATACATTACAGAGAAAGTAAAACTATTAAATGGAAGAAGCCTTTTAAAAGATTTGTGTGGATGATATAGAAACACACACACACACAGAAAGAGAGAGAGGGAGGTTGAATCTGCCTGAAACCAAAAGCCAGGAACTACATAGAGACTTCACACCTAAGTGACAGGGAGCTGACTACTTGGGCCATCACACACTGTCTTCCCAGATTCCTCAAGATGGATCTGATTGGAAAGTGGTGTAGCCAGGACTCAAAATAACACACCAGAATAGGAAACTGGTGTTACAAGTGGCAGTTTAATTTACTTTGCCACAATGCAGGCTCCAAAATCTGCTTTTTAAAATTAATTATTTTCTTTTTATTGGAAAGGGAGATACACAGAGAGATCTTCCATCTGCTGGTTCACTCCCCAAGTGGTCACATGATCTGAAGCAAGGAGCCAGGAGCCAAGAGCCAGGAGCCAGGAGTCAGGAGTCACCTTTGGGTCTTCTACAGGGTGGCAGGGTCCCAAGGCCTTGGGCCATTCTGCACTGCCTTCCCAGGCCAGAAGCAGGGGGCTAGATGGGAAGCACAGCAGCCGGGACACCAACCGGCACCCACGTATGAGCCCGGCAGACGCAATTCAGCCATAAGGCTGTCGCACCACACGTTCTAGAATCTATTTTAAAATTGGCGAATAGCTCAGTATATCGGTCATATTCTGCAATAAAAAAATGCCCTTACTGTGATGTTTCAGAGACAGATTCAATCAAGATAACTACTGACGGAACATTGAGAAAGTCTTGGGAAGAAGAGTTTTGCAAGTAGCCACAGGAAATGATGATGTACTGACATGACAGAGTTTCCTTAATCATGTACCCTAGACCTAGTGCCTTGAATAAAGAATATCCTTCAATTATTCTTGCATAGACATGAATGCAATGAATTGAAACTCCTAAGTCTGAATTAGCACGTCCTGTTGTTCTTATCCATCAGTGAATCTCTGCAAACTCTACCAATTTTTCTGTTCAAAATGAAGTATCTGTCAAGTTGTGCAATATAAACATGTGTATTAGACTTGAGTTTCAAATTTCTGGAGAATAACACAGGAATGGTAAATAACTGTTTACATCATTTTAATTTGCAAAATAAAACACAACAGGTAAATATGATTCTGCATGCTATCTTCCAAGTCAAAACCTGGGTTTCCAGAATTTCATTTAGTTGGCACATTTTGCTTCCTGGATCACACCTGTGATAAACTGAACAGTGTCACTATTTGATTTAGAGCTGGCATATTTCTTCTTTCCTAGGGCAAGTGGACTCTCCCACAGATAACATGTTTTAAAAATACAAAAGAAAGCACCTTTATTGTAAATTCCAAAGTGAAAATTTACTCATAGAGTGGCAGCAAGAAATGGCAAAAATGCAAATTCAAATACTACACTTTTGTCATGTTTCTGGCATTTATTGAATACATTTTGAAGTGAATTTGTTATTACTGTATCCCATTTTTCAATTAGCATGACAGAATGGCTGTGAAGGCACTTTGTAATTTTAACAATATGTGTACATATATAATTCAAGATATTTCAAATTGGTTGCACTCTATTGATCATATATGGAGTGGGGAAGGTAACTTTCCAAATCATTTGTATCAGTCAAAAATATTCTCTATCATTTTTCATAGGAAAGACTAATTTTTTCATTTTAATTTATTCATTCTTAATAGAAAGGCAGATTACAAAGAAGAGGAGACACAGAGAGAAAGCACTTCTGTTCACTGATTCACTCCCCAAGAGGCAGCAGCAATGGCTATAGCTGAGCTGATCCAAAGCCAGGAGCCAGGAACTTCTTCCGGGTCTCCCATGTGGGTGCAGGGTTCCAAGGCCTTGGGCCATCCTCAATTACTTTCCCAGGCCACAAGCAGGGAGCTGGATGGGAAGCAGAGTAACCTGGATGTGAACCAACGCCATATGGGTGTCCAGCTCATGCAAGGCGAGAATTTGGACACCGAGCCGTTCTGCTGGGCCTTATTCATATGTTTTCAAAAATCTGACCACGCTTACTTAAGAGCTAATTCAGAACTATTCATCTGCATCTAGAGTCAAACCAAGAAGGTGACATTGAAAATTCAAAATCATTGGATCTCTACTATTAAATACTTGTCCTCAATATAAAATGTTTTTTGTCTGCAATTTGACTACCAGAAAGGAAACAGAGCAAGTTGGATACCACTTAGTTAAGCTTACCTTGTCTAATTTTCTTTATGAGTATATTTATTCACATTCACAGACGTGGCTGATTTCCTGGAGTCCGAACCTCTAGTCTCAACGATTGAAGGTTATGATGCTCGGCTCAAATGTAAAGCGGCTAAATATATCTACAATCAGCTGGCTTGGTTCAATCCGTTTGGGGAGAAGATTCCTGTTATAGACACTGAAAGCTTCAAAAATAACTACTCGATCTCCTTGACACTGGTAATTAAGAATGTGACCAAGCAGGATACCGGGCAGTACAAATGCAAAGCTTGGGCCCAGAAGAACATCACTGGAATGATACAGCGCAATACTCAGCTATTAATTAAAGGTACAACTAAATCAATTTCCTCATAACATCTTAGAGTTTGGCCCAACTGTTGGGTGTGTTGTGGAGCTAAAAATAGAGCTTTAGCATTTGTGTCGCTTATAAGCTGAGCCAGTTAATCCTCTGCCTCCAAAGCCTGATGGAATTATTCCAGGGGAAACATCTTTAATGATTTTTAAATTCTGTGGTAACTGAGTTGTAGAAAACTTAGGTCAGCTGGAATTACTTTGCTCTGATGTAAAAACTATAAGGAACTTACTTCCATTGCCTGAGATGGCTCAGGATGGACTTCCTAAGCATAAAAATTAAAGAACAAAAATGAAGGGAATAATGTGTAAACCATCCTGTACCTTACTCACACAGTAGATTTTTTTTTCTGTTCATCCACAGAACAGTATGTTATTACTTCCGTTATGCAAATGTCTGGTTAAACATGAGAAGTGGAACAGATATTATGTGTCATTTCTAGTGACCTGCCTCAGAATCTTAATTTGCATTACTCTGGTTTCTACAGAAAAAATTGCTCCATTCATTATTGAGAATCTCACCAATATTGAAGTCAACAGGAGTGGCAAGATTGTGCTGGAGTGCAGAGTGGGTGGGATCCCATGCCCTCAGATTCACTGGTTTAAAAATGGAGTTCCTCTTCTCCCTGCTTCAGGTGAGTTTGAAGATGTTTTAATACAGATTTATTAATTTATTTGAAAGGCAGGCTTACAGAGGAGAGAAAGAGGGAGAGAGAGAGAGAGCATTCTTACATCTCTGGATTCACTTATCAAATGACCACAGCAGCCAGAGCTTAGCTGAATTAAATCCAGGAACTTCTTTTGAATCTCGCACTTGAATGCAGTGATCAGAACACCATCCTCTGCTGCTTTCCTAAGCATATTAGCTGGGAATTGAATTGAAAGTGGAACAGCTGGGATCCAAACTGGCAACCCTCTGGGATACAGGCATTGTAGGTGGCAGCTTAACCTGCTATGGCACAATGCTGGCTCCAAAGATTTGTAAAAGCGTATTTATTTATGTATTTGTTTGAAAGGCAGAGTGACAGAGATTTTCCTTCCATTGTTATACTGCTCCAATGGCTACATTGTTTGAGGCTGGTCCAGATTGAAACCAGGAGCCAGAAACTCCATCCAGGTCTTCCACATAGGTGTCAGGGAGCCAAAAATTTATGTCACCCATATGTTGCCTTCTCAGGAACATTATAAGAAAGTTGAATCAGCAGTGTAGCAGCCAATATTTGAGTCAGTATTTTGATATAGGATATTGGTGCCACAATACCGTAACAACTCATTTAACCACAACACTGGCTCCTGTCTTGAGATTTTTTTTGATGTGTCTGAGGACTCAAACAGAGTGACTTAGTGGATACAGCTCGTTAGCGCTGGCTTGATGCATAAATTGTCCCAGGGCTGATTCAATGAAATTGGGGCTGTATATATTTTGGGACTGAATTCCAACTAAAAAAATCTCAATAATGGGGGCGGGGATTATCGATACAGGAATCTTCTTTGAGAACAGCACCCTCGTTGTTGAGAGAGCTAAGAAAGATGATGAGGGACTGTATCTCTGCAAAGCTGTCAATGAGTTGGGAGAAATCAGTACTGCAGCTCTTATCACCGTGGAAGGTAAGTTGGAAATTATTGCATGTGTTGATGATCAGTAGTGGATTTTCATTGCAGTTAGAACTCAAACATCTAAAAAATGGAAAGGAGAAAAGATAAAGGATATATGGCCATATGAGTACAGTATGGTTCAATGCAAATGGCAAACATTGTACACACAAAAGTATTATTCCTAATCCCTTCTGTGGTGGTGGTCACAAAAGTCCCTGCTTTTTATATGAGGGTATGTGGAATAATATTATGATAAAGAATATGATATTGAATAATATGAATTCAAGCTCAGAAGCACATATTTGTTGTGGACTTGATGATACTTCATAAAAGTTAGTTAGGACTTCTGAATCTTTCACATCTGAAACAATAGCAGCTACACTATCTCTCAAAAGTGATACAACAAATGATTTCAGGGATGTGGGAATGTTTTACTAGTTACAAACATAGAACAATAGAACTTTGGGAGTCATTCATTTTAAATATGAGGAACAAAGTGAATAAAACACTTGTAGATGGTTATATATGATTACATTCCATTCTGTGCTATTATGATGAATATTTAATTGTTAAAGATAAAATTGAATGTGTCCAAGAAAGGTTCCTAGTTGGAGTACTCATCTGGCATCCAAAAAGCTATTTTCTTACCTAGCTATGTTATTGGTAGAATAACAGACAAACCATGTCATCTGGTTTAACAGGTTTAACAATCACTCCTCTGAGTTATTTGAGATGGTTCACAGGAGGATTTACAATTAGAAACATGAAATCAATATTAATAGAAGCAATTAAAATTAAAAATCTATCAGACAAGATATTATTCACTTCTTATGATTACATTTAGCCTTCTTCAAAACTCTGTGGAAAATATTTTGTTATTCACATTTTGGATGGTCAAAATGAACCACAGAGAAACTAGTGACTTGTCCAAGGTCACCCATGTGGTAAATAATAGAGCTGGCATTTGAATTCAAGTAGTGTTAGGCTAGAACCAACATACATCTTGCCATTGTAGAAAACCATCTAATGAGTCAGAGAATAGCTTATAAATGTCTCATTGAGGTTTTTCTTCTTAAATGTTGGAAATACAGTAAACATATCCATATATATTGTAAGTCTTTGCCTTTCTTATGAGTTAACTAGCTCAGTTATCTAGAAATCCTTTTTATATATACACACACTCTGTAAGAATTTTACACACACACACACACACGCACAGAGTTTGATGCCCAATGACATGAGTCCTTTAGAACTGTAAAGTGATTTCAAAAAGCAATGGATTTGTTATGATTTAACTGAGTCTTTTTTGATGAACTCGTTTTTTTCATTAAGTAAGTTCAACATTCAATTTCTATAGGGTCTGAAGAGAAATCCAATATTGAAGTCATCATTCTTGTTTGTACTGGCCTTGCAGCTACTCTTTTCTGGCTTCTTCTGACCCTGGTTATTCGAAAACTCCAAAAAGTAAGTAGACAAGGTACCTTAGAAAGCATGGATGGCTCATGTATTAAGATAGTTTTAAGCTTGGAACTGATATTTTTTTTCTCGATTGATTTCTTGCAAAATAGGTACTACTTATCCATGCAACAGATTGTATACAAGCAGTCTCTCTCTCTCTTTCTCTCTCTCTCTCTTTGTGTGTGTTTGTGTGGAATTAAAATGTTCAACAGGTTTTACTGTGGGCCACCTAAAATAGTGGGAGCACAAGAACACATCTATCCCCTAGGATTGTATCTCAAACTTAGCACAACTGATATTGTCAAGTATCACTCTTAGATAATTCTAATGCAACTGCTGAGTGAATATTTAATATTCATAGTTAAAATTATATGCTCATATAAGTGTTACATCTACTAATATGATCTATTTTATTGTAAAACATTAGGTATTTATTTTGAAAATCAGAGTTAAAGAAAGAGAGAGGTAGAGAGAGAGAGATTTTCCAACTTCTTGCTTCTCAGATGGCTGCAGTGCCCAGCATTGGCCAGGCAGAAGCCAGGACTAGAAGCTTCATCCAGGTGTCTCATGGTGTAGCAGGTGTTCAGTTACCTGGGCCTTATTCTGCTACTTCCCCATGCCATTACCAGAGAGTTGGATAGCAGTAGAGTAGCCAGGATTTGAACCAGTACTCATACGGTTTATGAGTGTCACAGGAGGCAGCCCAAAGCGCTATGCCACACTACTGCCCACGATGTGATATATTTTCACAGAATGTGGAATAAAATCTAGGTGTCATAGCTAAAGCTTATTAAGCTACAAATAGGCTTTCATCTACTTTTGTCTTCAAGACAGTTTAAAAAAATACTCTTTATGTGTCAGTAAATCCATTTTGTGAATATTTAATTATTGGGAGGAAAATAAGTTTCAAATTCAGCATCAATTCAGCATAATCCGTTTGCAGATCCATGAGAAGACATAAAGCCTGATGTTCCTATTGAAATGTGTCATCTAGACTCCTAATATTTTTCCTTGCTTCATTGAATGTGTTGTTTAATTCATACATAACTAAATTTTCCAGCTTTCCTTCTGCTATTTTAAATTTCATTCTATTGCATTCACAGAAAATATTTTATGTAATTTGACTTTAAATTTATTGAGATTTGTTTTATGCCTAACATTTGAGTTCTGCAAGACAGTGTGATATGTTCACTCGAAATAAGTATGCATTTTTGCCACTGTGTCAACTGTTTCAAATACGTAAGTTAAGTCTAGTTAGCTTATAGTGTTTTTAATGTCATCCATTTCCTTATTGATCTTTAGTTCTTTTATAATGAAGAACTAAAATCTCCATTACTATTCCAGAATAGTTTATTCTTTGCAAACCTGTCATGTTTTGCTTCATATATTTTAGGGTTCTGATAAGTGTATACACATGCATAAATATATGTTTATGATGAATTAGCCCTACAGCAATGTATGTTTTCATGCTTTGTGTTTTCTAACAATGTTTAATTTAGTCTATTTCATTGCTATTAATGTTGTCACTTAAGCTCTCTATGGCTTACTCTTTAATTGTATGGAGAATATATTCATTATTTCACTTGTATCTTACTTGAATAAATATAACTGGAGTCTCTTGTAGAGAGCATGCATATATACACCTGCAACATTTTTTTTTCATCCTTTCTGTCAACTCATAACTTGCAGTTGGAAAATTTAATACATTTGTATTTTTAAAATTTATTTTAAATGCTTATTTATTTGAAAGGGGTCCACAAAAAGAAAGAGATTTAAAGGGAGAGAGGAAGAGATCTTCCATATGCTGATGTACTCCTCATATGAATACAATGACCAAGGCTTGGTGAGGCATGTTCCAGGGACATGGAACTCTATCTGGGTCTTTCATGTGGGTACAGGGGCTCAAGTAACTGCTCCATCTTCTACTGTTTTCCCAGGGGCATTATCAGAGAATTGGATTGAAAGTGAGGCAGGTGGGACTTGAAATGGAACTTTCATTCGGTGACTTATTACATTGTGCCACAATAAAACCCCCATTGTATTTACATTTAAAGGTTGACATTAATGGACTTATTTCTGCCATTTTTCTGTTTATTCCATGTCATACTTTTTTTTTCTCAATTCCTCCACTACTATGCAGATTTACAATTCACTTTATCTCACGTATGTTCTTTATTTCTTTTTCATTTGTTTGTATGAATTGAAGTTTTCTAAATTACTTACCACAAATGGAGAAAAACAGCAACAATAATAACCTATGTAGCTACCTTTCTCATTCTTCATTTCTTTGTATGACTTTGTTTGGCTTTGTATTACTGTCTAGTGTCCTTTCATTTCATCCTGGGGAGGTTTTTCTTTATGATTTCTAGTAAAAGTATTCTACTATTAGCAAGCTCCTTCATTTCTCTGTATCTGGAAATATCTTAATTTCTCTTACTGTTTAGTTATTTATTAAACAAAGAATTATTGATTGGGGGCGAACATTCATCTAATTTTAAGGACACTGGTTAAAACACTCATGTATCACATCAGAGTATATGTGTTCAATTCTTGCCTCAAGATCCTGATATCCACTTCCTTCGAAGGAGATCCCTGGGAAACAGCAGTGAAGGCTCAAGAAGTTAAGTTCCTATCACTCGTATAGGAGATCTAGTTTGAGATCCTGGCTCTTAACATTGCCTTAGTCCAGCAGTGGCCATTGTGGAAATTTGAGTAGTGAGTCAGAAAAGGGGAGCTGTCTGTCTCTTCTAACATAATTTTTTTTTTTAATTTAACTGTTGGGTCATCCTACTGACACATGGCCTTAAAGTTTCTGGAAGAGAAAATGCTAATTTTATTGATGATCTTTTGTGCAATTGTGCAGGCAATGTGGAAAACAGAATAAAAAAAATAAAACAAATAAATAAAATGAAAACTGAACACTGTGGATTTCCTGGAATTACAATTATACCTTATCCCTGCTGTTTGTAATTGCTATTTGTGATGGATTCTTTTTTTAATTTATTTTGAACTTTTAGAATTTTCGTTTTATTTTTAAAGCAGAGAGAGAGAAAGACAAAGAGAGAGAGCAACTGACTTCATTTACTGGCTTACTCCCCAAATATCTGTAAAAACCAGGAAAGGGTTGGGCTGAATCAGGAGCCTGGGAATCAGTCTGCATCTCCCACATGGATGGCAGTGTCCCAAGTACTTGAGCCATCATCTTCTGTCTCCCAGGGTGTGCATACTACTATATGAGATATGCACTTTCTAAGTGGTAGCTCCTCTACCCTTGATTTTATAACTTATTAAAAAGTTGTTTTTGTAACAAAATATGTAGTCTTGTTATTTATGTATTGATGTCTGTTCTTTAACTTAGTGGTGAGCTGTTTTTTTGTTTGTTGTTTGTTTTTTAATAATCTTACTGAGTTGCTTAGGGTACAAAGGGTCAAGGGCAACAGGAAAGTGGGTAATACCATTGTTTCCACACTAATATCATTGAGACACAACACTTAACTGGATTTTCTGCTGCTTTCCCGCCGTGTTGTTTTACAGATTCTGAAGCTTAGCTTCGTACTAAGAGTCTCCTGGTGACGTATCTCACCTTATATTCATATAACTTTTGTGTCCTAGCACATAGAGTAGCCTTTATTTCTTGTGTATCTTTTAAGATTTAATTTTTATTGGAAAGGCAGATTGTACAGAAAGATCAGCTGTCTGTTGGTTTACTCCCCAAGTGGCTGCAATAGTCGGAGCTGAACCAATCTGACACCAGGAGCCAGGAGCCTCCTCGACACATGGCACAGGGTCCCAAGGCCCTAGGCCATCTTCCACTGCTCTCCCAGTAGGGAGCTGGATTGGAAGTGGAGCATCTGGGACACAAACCGGTGCCCACATGGGAACTTGGCACTTGCAAGGCAAGGATTTAGTCACCAGGCCATAGTACCAGGACACTCTTGTGTATTTTCTTGTTAGAATATTTCCATCCACATTTCCTAGTCATTTGTTTATCCAAAATTCTCTCAGTATTGTGAACAATTATTTGGGCAAATACCTTTACCTATAGATTGTTTAGGTAAAGATGCTGGTGAGTGAAATATCTGTGCTATTCCCAAAGGGATCTGCCAAGGAGATTGAGACCTATAAATGTTATTTTCCATGAGTAAGGTTTGCATTATTCCTTCTGGCAATAGCAACCTGTAGAAGGTGTGGTAGCTAATGTCCTCAAATTGCTACTGATATGGGCTGTTGAGGAAGGGGGGGGGGCAGGCTTAAACTCAAGTTAGCTACTTCTTTCTTCAACAAGTCATTTCCTGGTTGTTGCAAATTTCCAAATATTTCTGTAGTCATTTCTAACCATTTTGCTGCCTTGCTCAATACTTTTAGGGAGAGATACTGCCTTAGAGTTTCCTACCCTGCCATTTTTGTTGACATCGTTTTTTTATTTATTTATTTTTTTTTGGTTTGTATGTTTAATAGCTCTTTATGACTATTGACCATTATCTGTTAGGTTGGATATTATTTATTCTAATTTTGCTCATATAATGATGTTATTATATTTATTCTCTTGACATTTCTTTCTCGCTATATGACCCATAATATAAAGTAAAATTGGAAATTCCAGGGGGCTTATAGTACATTTGGAAGATCAACAAAGCATAGCAATGCATTTTTATTATTTTTTTGCAGCCAAATATGTCAGAAATCAAAACTGGTTACTTATCCATCATCATGGATCCTGAAGAGATGCCCCTGGATCAACAGTGTGACAGACTTCCCTATGATGACAGTAAATGGGAATTCCCCAGGGATCGACTACGGCTAGGTGAGCACTAGTATTTATTACAGTGCTCTCATTTATTTAATTATTTAAAACTTTATTTTTGATTATAATTACATAGTTGAGAAGGGTACATACCCATGTGGACCACTGATTTGGGTGGAAAGGGTCAAGGAAGCAGGGTGGTTCAGACCATTGTATCTGATTGTTTTCTTCTTATATCTGGGGGAAGAGGGCAGAGAAGGGGAGAAGCTGCACTCAACATCCTAACCACCTCAATACCCATGGATGGAGGATGGCTAATCGGTGTCATCCCAGATTGTTGTAAAAAAAAAAAACAACAACAACAACATTTGTCTCCATTTACATAGGAACTAGACAAAAAGGGGTGTGTTTCTCAGATGTTGGTAGGTAGGAAAATATGACTAGTACAACAGAATAGTATTGTGTGCATAGCATGGAACTGTGAGTTTTTCCCGTCCAAACTGTGTAACTTTGTGGAAGGCAAGTCACTTAAAATTTCTGAGCTCCATTTTGCTTAACAATAATTGGAAAACATTAACATTGATTTGTATTCTGTTTAATTTTCACAGCTATCTTCCAAGTCGTTCAAGATAACATTTGGAGATGCATTTTATAAATTTGAATTATCTCACAAACAAAGGGATACCTTACGATGATAGAATTTTTTGACAAATGTGGGTTAGACTATAGTGGGAGAGTACTTTTCATAAGAAACTAATGAATGTCTGCAGAGTCACATGTAGAATTTCAATTAAATATAAGACTAGGAGTCTTAACTTACAACTGCAATACATTTACTTAAGAAGCTCTTATGTATATGTAGGTCACTATAGGTCTCTCCAAACCCACGTAGTTCCTTTCTTGATAGCTGACAGGTGCTAACCTTTCCTTCAGTTATTCATGCATATTTACTTGGCACCAATTATGAATGAAACATTATTTGGGGTTCTCAGGTTTCAGGTCACTGAACTTATGTCCTAGTCAAGTAATGAGGATGGAAAAAGGGGAGAACACCACCTATACTTACTGAATTATATTGTTGAAAATAATAACTGAACAAGTAATTGATACTAAAACATAAATTTATAGTAAAAATAAAACAAGAAACTCTCAGTGTTGCTTACCCATAAATATCTTGAAGGAAAATAAATACAGTATATGAAATGATTACGAACAGCCTTCCAAAATGTCTTGACTTTAGTGTTCTGTTACTTATTATGAGACGTTGCATAATCCCTGGTTCTCATTTTCGCTTCTTGTCTCCTCAGGGAAAATCTTGGGTCATGGTGCCTTTGGCAAAGTGGTAGAGGCTTGTGCCTTTGGCATTGACAGAGCTTCAACTTGTAAAACAGTGGCTGTGAAAATGCTGAAAGGTAATGTCTGTAGTCCTTTGGAGGCCACTGAGGAACATATTTAGCTTTTCTTGGAGTCATGTGCAAAACTGAGCTGCAAAATACATTTTTATGTTAGTGGAAGGAGATTATTACAATCAGCTTACACTCTGATCCAGTGAATCTATAGAAACATCATCTATCGAGACATGGAGGCAAATATGAAATATGAAGACCTATGCATCCTACTTTAGGGACCACCAACTTAAATATGGAAATAAAGACTTGAGGTTTTAGTTGCCAGTTAACCATGGTATCTGGCCATCAGAATTTCAACATGGTTTTTTATTATATTAGTAGAAATATATGTTATAGAATATTCTTAGAATTTGAATTAGAAGTCTGTACTGTTCCTATCTTAAATAGATAGAACACACGTTTCAACATTCCAGCCCATCCGTTCCATGCTATAAATTCTATACAGAGCAATGCTAAAACAACCTATGCCAACGCAACAATCAATTTTTCTAGGAAATGACTCAAAGAGAGAATTTATTACAAATAAGTATCTATCCAACAATATCCATTTCAAAATGAGGAAGTTGAAATATTGAGGCTGACAGTTCATAGAGCTCAGAGTACAGGAAAATTAATACATAGAAATGTATTACTTATTATTTACGATACTGTTGGAAAATACAATCAATAGCTGAACGGTTGTGTTCTGGAAACTTTTGCTGGGGTTGTTCAAACAATAAAAAGGATTTCCTATACTCCCCTGCCTCTTCCAAGGTTAAAAAAAAATTGTTTGTAAAATTACTGCATTTATTTAAAGCAGATTGTGCAACTTCCAATGAATGTAAAGCTTTGATGTCAGAGCTGAAGATTCTTATTCACATTGGCCACCACCTCAATGTGGTCAACTTGCTGGGAGCCTGTACTAAGCCTGGAGGTAAGAGGTTTTCTATACCTGACTAGAATCGATGTCTATGTAGCATAATCTCAGAAATAGTCAGACCTGATTTAAAATAGCCTTTCTGAACTTCACATGAAATTTTTGTTTGTCTTTTAAATGTATAGACTTCTCACAGTACAAAGGATATTCAAAGCTTACATTCTCTATCACCTTTTTTATTTTTAAATCAATGTTGGCTAGGGTTAGGATAAAATCACTGCGAACTGAACATCTGCAGGATATTGGACACATTGGTTAAATGGAGCACATGTAGACACCAAGAAGTCGTAGCAGTTTTATTCAGGGTACTGAACTATGAGGGCCACTTTGAGACACCCATCTGAGCAGCAATACTATTTACTACCATAGTCGGAGTAGGAAGTTAGAAACGTGTCTTAATTAGGAAATGATGGAAATCTCTGGCTAGCTGTAGACTCCTTTATTTTCATCATTACACTATAAACTGTCTGTGATCAAGATGCTGTTTCTGACTCTTTTGTTCTCTGTATTATGCAGTTCAGAGATCACCACAGGTATACTCTGCAAGTTTATTGACCTAATTTTTTCCATTAGCCTTCCTCCTTCCATATCCATTCGGTTGTTTTGGGGATCTAGCACCACTGTATCAGCTCAGGTAGTCAGTCATTTGTTTCAGAACTAGAGATATTTTGTGATATTTTCAGAGCTCCCTGGGCAACTGGTTACCAGGACAAAGATAGACAAGGACGTAGCTGCCCTTCTGAATTATTCATGAAAATATAACTATTGAAATTACTTTTGGAAGGTCCTTTGATGATCATTGTAGAATTCTGCAAGTATGGAAACCTGGCCAATTTCCTAAGAGGGAAGAGAGGAGACTTTATTGCTTCCAAGGTAGGTTCTCTCACCTGAATCCCAAACTCCAATCCAAGTTTTGACCTTTTTGAAATTTTCTAATGTTAAACAGAGAGACGTCGGGGAAATCACAGGATATAAAACCGAATAGAGGTAGTAGGCTGTGCATTTGTGCATTCACTTGTCACCTGAATTTAATGAACTAGAAAGTAATTTTTAGTCTTAAAAATCCACTGAAATATGACTTAGCATTCTGGCATTAACTGAAAATATATTTTTGTTTGGCAAAATCCATAGTTTAAATTTTTTTTTTATTGTTAATCAGATTGTGTTATGTGATACAGTTTTGTAGGCACTGGGATTCCCCCTACCCCTCCCACAACCCTACCCCCATGGTGGATTCCTCCACCTAGCTGCATATTCACAGTTGAGGTTCAATTGGGATTCATAGTTTAAATTTGAAAGCTCAGGGTGGTTAGCTAGTGCAAAATTCGCTTATACCATTAGTCTTCCATAGCCATAAAACAGTCCCCCGGTATTATCTTGAGATTCAGGGTGAGGCTTTTGGATTGAATAATTTTCACCCCTAAAGAAATGTTAATGGCCATATCTCACACAACTCTCATTCATACTCCTCACATACAACTTTCCTATTGTCCCCACATGGACATTCTGCCTCTTTCTTTATGTTCCTGGGGGGAAAGTAAGTTGTCTTTCAAATTAGTGGAAATAACTGCATCAGCTTCTGCTTTATTTTGAAAATATCTGCTAACATTAGTCATGATTTAGGAAAAAAAATCTAGTTATCTATTCATCTGACTTGAAACTCCAAGCTTAGTTAATTATTTATTATTTCCAGCTGCAACTTCTTCTCTTCCTTAATCTTAGCAAAGGAAAAGGCATTACCAATTCTTTTCACAATAGAGGATGTCTGCATCATATGATCTCCAGTTTTCTTTTTTTAAATAAAGCTCAGGGATATGGCAATTTGGTATTTTGGGGGATAGCACGTGCCGTGAAATGTGCTGTCTCTAGGAAGGCCTGCTGAGTAATGGAGCAAAGTCACACTCTGCAATGAGCAGCTTTGGAGTTTTCTCTAACCAAGAATGACTTCGCTGGCATTATAGTCTAAGGAAAACAATGCTGTGTTGGTTCTCATCACTCTCTGCTTTTTCTCAGAATATGGGATCGTCATATCGCTCTGAACCTTAGTTTCCTCAATAGAAACAGGGTTGGGTGGGATAGGTGATCTTAAGGTTTTTATCAACTCTAAGGTTATATTTAAACTCTCAGGCTCAGCTCAATATAGAAAAGAAGATGAAGACCATTCATGATTCTGACAACGAACTCTCTCAGCTAACTAAGCACCGTCTGCAGAGTGTGGCCAGCACAGAAAGTTCCACCAGCTCTGGTTTTATTGAGGACAAGAGCTACAGTGATTCTGATGAGGAGGAAGAGAGCAATCGTCGCCTTCTTGGAAGAGTAGGTATGTATAAGTAGGCTCTGTTAGCATGGTCAAAAGTCAAAACTATTAAGTTCTTCAGTTTGGAGAATATGGCCAGTAACATCAAGGCTGGGCCAGAGTTGAGAGGTCTTTCAGAACAACATTTGTCTTTTCCCATAAGTATTGCTGCCCAGCATTGGAGTTGACTGCATGCTCAGTTTACACTTACATTAACAATCAAAGGTAGTTCATAATGATACTATTCTATAGTGGTCTAGAGCTTTACAGTTTTTAAAATATTTTGCATGAATTCTTTCTTCTGACTTTGTATGAGATGAGTAGAGATGCTCATTTCCATTTGTTAGAGGAGAAAACAGATTCAGAATGGAGATAATATAAAAATATTGGCATATGCTGCATGATATTTCTAATCATTCTGTATATCTTGAAAACATTAGCAAATGGGTACTAAAAGTTAATATGCCGGTGCTATCATTGTATCATAGTGGCTTAAATCAGTGCCTGTGACATCAGCATCTCACATGAGCATCAACTGTTACACTCCTGACCCAGCTTGGTGCTAATGAGCCTGGGGAAACAGCAGAGGATGGCCCAAGTGCTTGGGCCCTTACCATGCTGGAGACCTGGAGGGAATTCCATGCTCCTAGTTTTGGCCTGGCCCAGCCATGACTGTTGCTGCCATTTGGGGGAGTGAATTAACTCTTGTGCAACTCTGTCTTTGAAATAACTAACTAAATAATTAATTAAAATAAATGTATTTGAGGGCCCGGCAGTGTGGCCTAGTGGCTAAAGTCCCCGCCTTGAGCGCACCGGGATCCCATATGGGTGCAGGTTCTAATCCCAGCAGTTGCACTTCCCATCCAGCTCCCTGCTTGTGGCCTGGGAAAGAAGTCGAGGACGGCCCAAAGTTTTGGGTGTGGGATACCCGAAGAAGTTCCTGGATCCTGGCTTTGGACTGGCATAGCATCAACCATTGCGCTCACTTGGGGAGTGAATCATCAGACAGAAGATCTTCCTCTCTGTCTCTCTCCTCTCTGTATATCTGACTTTCCAATAAATAAATCTTAAAAAAATGTATTTGAAAGGCAGAGTTACAGAGGAAGAGGGGAGATATGGTAGATAGACAGAGTACAAACACAGACACAAACTGAGATGATGAGAAAGAAAGAGAGCAAAAGAGTGTTTTTGTCTGATTTGCTTCTTGAACTGCTCCAATGGTCTGCACTAGACCAGGCCAAAGTCAGAAGCCTGGAGTTTCTTCTGGGTCTCCCACCTGGGTGCAACAACTCAAGCATCAGGACCATTATCCATTGTTTCCCAGGCACATTAATAAGGAGATGGATTAGAAGTGGAGAAGCTGGATCTTGATCTTAACATGCTACACCACAACATTGTCACAAATAAATTTTTAAATCAATTATGTGTACAATTTTTAATTCATATGCAATATATATTAACATTTTTAAAATATAGTAACTGATGTTTGACCAATGCTACATGTCACTTGCCAGGGTAAACCTTTTATTTCCTGAATCATGTTTGAATAAAGGTGGAGTAAACAGAGTGGTGAGGTGATTTGAGGAGCATGGAACAGTAACTAGTTACTAAACTATATAAATCTAGTTTAAACATAAGCAATTAGTAGAATTGGAGCAATTTGTACTAATTCAACATTGGCTTGAATAATTGATTATTCTGTGTAGCTAATTAGAAAGGAAGGTAAAAGTTAAAACTAAACCTTCTACCTCTTCCCTCCATGCTACAAGTCCAAACATACAGAGACATGCACTGCCTTAGAGTGGCACTTGTTTTGTTCTGCCTGATGTGACATTGATTAGCATTCCTTTTCTTCCCCAGATGACTGTCTTCTTGTGTCTGCTCTACTCCTTTTGTTATCCCATTTGTCACAAGTGGACCTTCATATATGATATCTTTCTGGACTAAAGACATGAAAGATGCTGCACTAATCTGATAATCAGTATATGCGTTTTATTTTTCTTGTTTTCTTCTTTTTTATTATTACTGGATCTATGGTGTGACATTAATTAGGTCCTTTATTTAGTCTTGTTTTCCTCCCTGTAAAATTGTGAGAGTTGGACTTGAATTTTTAAAAGACTGTCTAATCCTATTCTCATGTTGATGTTACATGCAAAAATGCACAACAAATAGCTGTAGACTTCATAGTCATTAACAGAAATTAAAGGAAAGGTAATTCAGCAATGAGTAGACTACCTCACATTCATAATGACCATATATTTTGGTTATAATTCAGATCTCTTGTCACTATGAATCATGAATAATTACTAAAAATTCCAAAACTTTGACATCTATAAATCATCTTTTATATTCCTTAACACACCCAGAAGAGGCAAGAAAATCTGGTCAAACAATGTTTTTTTTTTTTCCTAAAAAAAGTACATAATGACCAAAAAATATTCAAGGTAAATGTTGAACCCCTGGAAACAATTCTGCAGATTACAGTGATTCACAAGAGTATGTATTCATTACTTGACAATACATATGCTGTCTTAGTGCGGTAAATCTGTCAAGGCCTCTTGTCAAAACAATTTGCCACGTTCTGCAAAATGGTCGGATTTCCCTATCACTACCTTTTGACTTGTGATTTTTTTTTCAACTGCTGACCTTGCACAACCATCTCTGCTCTTCTCTAGATCTGGATGATCTCTACAAGCATCCCCTCACTCTGGAGGACCTGATCTGCTATAGCTTCCAAGTAGCCAAGGGCATGGAATTCCTGGCTTCCAGAAAAGTGAGCATCTTCTACTCCTTTTCTTTTATTCTCATTGATTATAAAGATAAGGTGGGTGAATTTCCATGACACCGTACTCCATGGTAGGTAGTGTTATTTTTTTTAAGTCCACTTTCATATTTATTTTTTCCTTCCTTCCAATTGCTCTTTGAGAAATTTATGTGTATTAACCTTAGAGACAGCTATTCATCTGCTACAGTGCTGTTGTTACAGACTTACTTAGCAAACTCAAAGTAGATGGTGGCTGTATATATAAATTTGAGCAATGATTTTTACGTGCTCTTTCATACTCAGATAAAATGCATTTAATAAAGAAATTTCTCAGTATTGTTTATTTTTGTTAATTGGAGATAAGGTATGAAGGGTAAATGTAAGTATTGACCCTGATATCAGTGTCAGTGAAGATAAACACTACACATAATAAAATACGGCTGACATGATTAAGGTATGAAATAATCTCTTTGTGACTGTTAGAGGTAAGGCCTGGAAAATCTGTGAAGGTTTCTGAGAAGTTATAGTTATGTAGTATTATGAAGACATGGGAAATTTAGAATAGAAATGCATGGTGGCTAATGGGCAGTGGATAGAGTTAAGTAACTTGATATAGCTTGAATGATGTGCCAAGTAATTTGAACGTTGATGATTTCTAATTTCCACAAAATAGAAATTTTTGTTAGGACATTCACCTGCTCAAGGTTGATTCTTTAGGAATTGTATTTAGATAGCCGAAAATATAATATAGAATAATGCAGAGGGATAAAGTAGAAGCAGAGAGACTGGTTAAGAAATCATTGTGTTTGTCTACATGAAAGAAATGATATTTGTATCTCAGGACACTTACAGTGAAATGCAGAAGAAGAAATTGATATGGAGTAATGGAATCACCAGTGTCCAAAGGTGGCCGGGACGGGGAAATGGGGAAATGTTTATGTTTGTGAATGCTAATGAGAATTATAACTCCAGTGTAGTGCAGATTCTGTCTACCCAAATTTCAAAATGGACAAATTTGTCTGTATTTTCACACATGTTAAGTTCAAATGTTTTTCTGAAACTGGACACTTCTAAAACACCTTCTTTCTCTGATCTTTCATTCATTTTAACATTCACATTTAATCTTCAATACTTATCATGGCTGAGAATCTGTTACCTTGTGCCACTGCAGGGTTTGGTTGCCCTCTGAGACACCTTTCTCTGTTTACTTAGTGCATTCATCGAGATTTGGCTGCCCGGAACATCCTTCTAGCTGATAACAATGTTGTGAAGATTTGTGATTTTGGTTTGGCTAGAGACATCTACAAAGATCCTGATTATGTCTGGAAAGGAGATGTAAGTCCAAGGTTCCCTAGTACAAAGTACTAAGCCTAGGATCTTTGGTTTTGTTGGGGTTGTAGTTACTAGTCCAATGATTCTATCCTTTCTTGGTTTTCCAGGCTAGACTCCCACTTAAGTGGATGGCACCAGAAGCAATTTTTGACAAGGTTTATACCACCCAGAGTGATGTGTGGTCTTTTGGAGTCTTGCTTTGGGAAATATTCTCTCTAGGTGAGTGTTTTGTTTCTTTGTACACCTTTTTCATTCTTAAATGCTGCAGCTGCTAAACAGAACTGTTAGAGATTACAAATCTGAAGATAAACTATAACTAGAAACCCAGAGCTCCATCTGGGTTTCTCCCATGTGGGTGGCAGGGCTGTGAGCACTTGAGCCATCCTGTGCTACTTTCTAGGTAGGCCGCCACATGGGAAGCAGAGCATCTGGGACTCGAACCAGCGTTGTGATAAGGGATGCTAATCACTTAGACCTAGTCTTAAGCTGGTGCACCACCATCATATTCCCATCAGTGACTTCCATTCTTTTCTATGTTTTCACTGTCTGAACAAATAAGCTACATGTATTAACTGTTCAATAAATGAATGGGTATTTGCTGGAAAAAAAAACATTAGAAATTACAATACTGAGACCAACTTGATTGTCAATGATTTAGAAGATGTCTTTCAAACATTGAAAATTTACTGAATATAAGCAGTACGAAGAGAGTCATGATGCTGAAAAATAGCTTATATCTGTGTTGACATGGTGCTTAAACAGAGTTGGATGAATATTTTGTGTTTTGTTTTTCTGAAACTATGATTTACACTTGAGATATGCACTTTTCCTTAATCATCAGTGTTAAACATTTTTAATCAAATTTTTCATTTATTAACTTAATAATTACTCTGAAGCCTTATTTCTCTGTTGTGTTTCCATGCTATCAAGACTTTATTTCCCAAGTCAGAGACAGATGTTCACACTAACTGGAATTACACTACCTGATTGTTCCTACGCCCTTGGGAATAGGACCATGTAATAGATATTACATGTTTTGCCATCGTGCTATCCCCTAGCATGTTATCAGTTAAAAGAAATGTGAGAAAATCTCTCAGAGACATCTAATAACACTTTATTAAGATTAAATGCAAGATCTTTCCATATTATCTTGAAAGATGGGTTAAATGCCAAGAAAATTATAGAACAATGGATAAAAATGCCCGTTGAAAGCATGGAATCATGGGGCACATATCAAACTCAATGGAAATCTGTATCGTCTTCAAGCAAATCGGATATGTAGTTTCTGGCTGAATAGTTCCTATTAGGCAAATGAAGTGAGAGATGGTAGCCAGTACTGGCAAATTGGATATGTGTCCTGTGGCTCATACTCTACATGGATCTATTTACCATACTCAGAATCCTCTTACTGTGTCCTATTGATAAAAACATCATGAGTTGCTTATTCCATGAACTTGATTGAGACAATGTGCCTTTTCTTATACGCCAGGTGCCTCGCCATACCCAGGAGTACAAATAGATGAAGACTTCTGCCGTCGACTTAAGGAAGGAACACGAATGAGATCTCCTGAATATTCCACTCCTGAAATGTAAGCTCTTTTTCAGATTAAGAGTCATCAAAGTAAATTAATTCATACCACTCTTACACTGGCAAAAGAATTAGGTGACATACCCAAATATTAGTTTGCTCTTCTAAGTATGTGGAGCTATAAGGAGAATTAAAATGGTTGATTATATATATATATAATTCAGCTATAATATATATACACAGCTATATATAATTTCAGCTATATTTGCATAGGTATATACCTATATATATACCTATATATATCTATATATATACCTATTTATACATATATATATATATATATACCTATGCAAATATAGCTGAAATATGTGGCACATAGGGATAATAGATAGGTACAGACAAGGCAAGCTTTTCAAAAACCTTATTTCAAGACAGTAGTAAAGCAGACACTTTGGTATACTTGTGAACATATGACTTGAGGTATCATCCACAACAAAAATTAGAGAAGCAATGGGAACTGAAGCTTACACGATGAGCTTGGATTTTTTTTTTTTCTTCCAACTTGCAGCTACCAGACCATGCTTGACTGCTGGCACAGTGTGTGTACCCTAAGACCCAATTTCTCTGACCTGGTTGGGCGTCTTGGAGATCTCCTTCAGGCCAGTGTTCAACAGGTATGCATTGCTTCATTTACTGGCTCAGTGTCACTTTATTTTTGTCTACTACAGCATAGTTATCAGAGCTCCGAGTACTACAAAGATGGACTATGCCTACAATCAGTCCTCAGGAAGACAATAACTTATAATGTAATAGGGTAGGTGAAATCAAAAAATAAAGAAAATAATACCTGTAGAAGGTGCATGTGATTAGGGACATTAACAATCCTTCATGAATATATCTGAGCATCAGAGCTATTCCAGCTACTGCACTAGACACAGGGCATATCAAGATAACAAAAAATTGACTCATGATCTAGAAAAACATAAAAGGTAGCAAGAGAGCCAAATGAGAAAGCTAAGTATTTCAGTAGAATATGATGATTGTCAGGAAGAAGGGGTACAAAGAGACTGGAAATTTTAGAATATGATAAATTCTGGATACATGAGACAGAGCTGTTTTTTTTTTTTTTAATTGCCGTCACCTATTTTGATAAGTGGTAGAACACAATTGAAGCTGAGTAGGTTTCTCAATGTGCTTCTTGTCATTAAAACTGAGGAGACTAAGGACTTTTCATTTGTACTATCTCTTTCAATGTGACTTTGTAGTGTTTCTACTGATATAATTCATTCAAAAAGTTTATGTGGTTTCTCAGAGTATCAGTATGGTTAGTTCTACTTGATAAAATGATCAATTACACCTCTTTAAAGATATAACATACTATAATTTAGTTACTTGCAGAGAAGACAGAGTACAATGGCTTTTATTTTTCTCCTTTTAAATAGTCTTAAACTTAGCCTCATCTGCACAACCTGTCTTTTTGATGGTGTCCTGGAATAAATCTTGGCTTAGAATTTACTCCTGTATTTAAACATACTTTGCTATCACAGAAGTTAACAATTTCAGTTTTTGTTTAACAATTAATTCTTCCCTCAAGTATATGTCTCCTCTTTTTTAAGATTGATTCATTATTTTTATTGGAAAGTCAGCTCTACAGAGAGGAGAGACAGACAAAAAGATCTTCCATCTGCTGGCTCACTCCCCAAGTGGCCGCAATGAGCATCAATCTGAGCTGATCCATAGCCAGGAGGCAGTAGTCTCTTCTGGGTCTCCCACATGGGTTCAGGGTCCCAAGGCTTTGAACCATCCTTAACTGCTTTCTAGGCCATAAGAAGGGAGATGGATGGGAAGTGGAGCAACTGGAACAAGAACTGGTGCCTATATGGCATCCTGGCAGATGCAAGGCAAGGATTTTAGCCACTAGGCTATCGCTCTAGGCCAATAGGTCTCCTCTTGATTTGATAAGAAGAAACATGAAGAAAGCAAATGGTACCTATTAATGGCTTATGTGGAAGCAAGTGTAGACAGATCACTGTATTTGTTTGACATATTTTATATATTCCACTTAGCTGCAGGCAATTTTGATGTGAAACTTTCTGCCACTGCAAAAGAAGAAGCTTTCACTTTTCAATAAGATGCTGATATTGTTTAAAAAGGCAAAACAGATATGCAAAATGGGAAGAGAAGAAAAAAATCTTACAGAAAAATTCTTATGATATGAACCAAAATTCAGCAGTTGTTTTTAAATCCATTTTTACTCTCAACTACTCTAGCACAGCAGAACCTGTTCAGAATCAAACTGATAGCAAAGGTTTTGAATTAAATTACAAACTAAGGCAAACTTTAAAACTATGAAATGAAAACAAATAACTCGTCCTGGTTTCTTCAAATGTTTACTCTATTTAGTTGAAAAGCAACGTGACACAGAAGGATAGGCAGAGAAAAGAAGAAATGTTCCATTTGCTGGTTCACTCCCTTTGTGACCACAGCAGTTGAGACTGGCCCAGGCCCAGCTTAGAACTCCATTTGTATCTCCCACATGGGTGCCGCCATCCTAGATACTTCCTGAATTCCCGAGTGCATAGGCGGGAACTGATCAGAAGCAGAGCAGCTCTCTTCTGACACTCTGATATGGGATACTGCTATGACAGGCAAGTAATTTAACAGCCTGCCTCACAACTCTGGTCCTGTGGTCAAACGCAATCATGGAGTTTTAATTAGTAGATTTTATTGCTTGGAAATGGTTTACATGCCTGTTTTCTCATGCAGGATGGCAAAGACTACATCCCCCTCAGTGGCACTGATGGAATGCCCACCTTTATGAATCTGGATCCAGTGCAAGAGACCATGAGCAATGATACCACCTTGGAAGACAGGTGAGATTCCGTAGCTTCTCTTTTTTAGCTGTTATTCCAGATCATCTATCAAGTGCCAAGATTCCATTCTCACTTCTCTGTTGTTCTTTTATGAAGGCTTTAGAGCGGCAGACACCATTATAGGATCTTTGAAACCAAGCATCTAAGATTCAGGCAATAGGAAGGGACTAACACTTTTATGCTTGTGTGTTATTCAGCCTTGTCTAATTCACCTTCATTTCGTCTTTTGCAATGGACCCTGCAAATGTCCAGTGAACCATATAGAGTATTTACAACTGAACACTTGAGCTGATATTCACACCCAGTCTTTTTTTTTTTTTAAAAATGTATTTATTTATTTGAAAAACTCAGTTACAAGGAGAGAGGGATAAAGAAGAGGAAGAGAAAGAGAAAGGAAAAATAGGAGAGACAGAAGAGAAAGGAGGGAGTAATAGAGGAAAGAAGAGAGGGGGGAGGAAGAGAGAGAGAATGGATGCTTCATCTGATGGTTCACTGCCCAGATGGCTCCAACCGCCAGGGCTGACCCATGCTGAACCAAGGAGTTAGGAGCTTCATTCTGTACTCACACTTTTGTGTCAGGAGCCTAACTAAGCACTTGCACTGCTGTCCCCAGGCCATTAAAGGGAGCTGGATTAGAAGTGGAGCAGCATTCAATGTCTATGGGATGGTGGCATTGCAGGTGGCAGCTTTATTATCTGCACCACATGGTCAGCCAAATATACACAGTCTTGTAATTCTCAATTGAGGTTTCTTTCTCTTTTCACTTCTGTAAAAGGTGTTTGAGTAAAGAAAATTGAGCTCTGCCTTAGGAATCAGAAGAGCTAACATAAACATAGGCGAGTCACTTTCCCTTTATGAATCTTCGTTTTCCCATGAAACCGGTAGGGTAAGTTAAGAACAGTCACTCTGCTCAGTAGCACAAACAGCCCCTGTGATGTCTTTATCCCATATAGGCACAGTTTCATTCCCTGATTGCTTAATTTCTGATCCAGCAGCCAGCTGGTGTGCCTAGAAGAGCAGTGAAAGATATCACAAGTACTTGAATCCTTGACACCCACGTGAAAGACTCAGCTTTGGCATGTTACAGCTCTGACTGTTATAGCCATTTAGGAAGAGAACCAATGGATGGAAGATCTCTAGCTCTATCCACTTCTGTATAATTCTGCCTTTAATAAATAATTGTGAAAAAGAAGAACTCCTAATTTTAGACAATATTCTTCCCGGTTTTCATATACAGAAATTCGGACCATAATACCTGGTGGTGATATGCTGACAGTAACGTAATTCTTAACTGGTACCTTGAGGATTCAAGATTAGCAGTCATGAAACTGTCATATGCCCAAGGTCACTTTGCCTTTAATATCACTAATAACTAAATTTTCACAAACTTGTCATAGACATTGTCAGATGATTTTCCACAGGGTTAACATGTGCTCTGCTTCAAAGCAAAGTTGTAGGCTAAAATCACTATAAATTTGAAAATGACTGCCACACAAAGAGGGAGCAATACTAAAAGGGAGAGAAGACATACTAAGCTAATTTTTGAAATCTATTTACAACAAGGCCATCATAGTCAGTAAAAATTAGTGCATATTTTTAAATAAATCTCAAATGTCTCACCACATAAAATGGTGTGCAATAAGATACAGTAATTGCTTAATATAATCAATCCAAATATATTGTGCTTTATAAAGGTATATAATTAAAATTTTCTGAGAATAGATTGATGTTTTATGTTTGAAATAAGTTTTATTGCATATTTTTGGGGCTTATGGACTGATGCTATGGTATACATATAGATAATAAAATGGTTACAGTGAAGAACATCAATATATACCTCTATAATCTCACATAGTGAGTATTTTCTTCCTGTGTGACAATAGTCAAAATCTACTTATTTAAATTAAAACCATGCTATAATCTTAGTAACACTGATGTTGAAGATTAGATCTCTAGACTTTGTGTCCATCATGTGTCTTCCCATATACCCTCTGCACTGCACCTTAGTTATAGACTTTACTATCACAGTGTGTTTGCCTTTCGCATATTTCGCATATTTTAAGGTTTATAACACAATACTTACACTTCTGCATCTGGCTGATTCCATTTAGTATAATGTTCTGCAACTTCATCCATGTTGCAGCAGAAAGACGAATTTCCATATTTTCTTAAGGCTGAAATTTTATCTATGTACCTATTTATCCATATATACCAAATCTATTATACATATGTTTATTTATTTGAAATAAATTTATTTATTTCATTATTTGAAATATATATATATATAAATGATAAATAAATCATGGAAAGTTAGTCATGGAAAATTAGCATTTTTTAAGTCATGGAAAATTAGTATTGTCTTCTTTGAACTTCAAAAATAATTTTAATTGTAAGTGTCTATGTAGTACAATGTGATAGTGTATTCAACATGTGCAGGTCAAATCATGTTAGTTTCAGGTTACTTGAATATTTAGAGGTAAACATTCCTTTTCAATCTGATTAGCAATAATTATTTTTCTTTATGGGATACAATGTGACATTTTGACAAATGCATATAATGTGTGTTATATCATTCAATGTAATTATAATTTTGCTTTGCTTGTCATTTCTTTGTGATGGGAGTCTCTGAATTCCTCTTTTCTAGTTGTCTAGGAAACATATAACAGATTGCTGTGAAATATATTTACCTCCACTGTGGTATATAACACTAGGAGCTTACTCTTGTCTATATTTTGGTACTTTTGTCCAGCCTTAACTTACACTGCCTTCAATACTCCCATCCTCTAGTTGTATGTTTTAGATTGAGTTTTTCTTTTTTTTTTTAATCTTCCGTATATGAAAGGAAATATATGGAATTTGTTTCACTGTGTCTCTTATTTCATTAGTATAATGTCCTACAGTGCCTTCCATTTTGTGAACTCACTCTTGTTGGGTGAGGAGCCACTTTCTAGTCTCCACTCCAGCCAAATGGAGAAGCCAGCTGAAGAGCTGAAGAGCGCATAGCGTTGGAGTCTTGTCCACACCTCCAGAGACCAGTATCAGGGAACTTGATCCAACTTAATTGGATTATATGACAATTGTATAGGATTCGGGTTACTAAGCAAAAACAGTTAAGTAGGTGCTTGGCAAGGTACTTTCACCAATATGTGTACAAACAAGCAGTACAAACCAATAATCATAAAGGCCAAACTGCACAAGCAGAGGAGGACCATCCAGGCTGCTACAGTGACTGGGCAGAATAGGGTTAGTGTGCTAGCCACAGTTTCCTGGCTCACCAAGGCTGAGCCCAGCAGATCGGTGTGCAGAGACGCAGATTCCCTGAATATAGCAAAGTAGGCATTTTCACACCTAGTGGCCCAAACACATTTTGACATAATTTTTCTATGTCTGCATAATAATCCATTGTATATATATACGCCATATTTTCATCACACATTGATTTGATGATCAGCACATTGGTTCGTTCCATATCTTGGTTAGCATAAACAATGTTTCACTAAACACAGAAGAGCAGGGTCTCTTAGAAATAATGATTTCCTGCCTTTTGGCTATATATCTAATAGTGGAATCACTAGCTCATATGACCATTCTAATTTTAGTTTTCTAAAGAATCTCTGGAATAATTTCAACAGTGGCTTTACTAACTTATATTCCTGCCAAAGGTATTGTGTTTCCTTTTTTGCATCTTCATCAGCGTTTGTTGTTCTTTATCGTTTTCAAAATACCCATCCACTTAGCCATAGAAAGTAATGAAATCTTATCTTCTGAAATAAAATGGATGCAACTTTAAGATTTAGTGAAAAAAGACACACTATATTGTATCTTTCCTTATGAGTGAAAATATATTTTCTTATTAGTAAACCTGATGTCTTGTTAATTTGATTATTGTTTATAACCCTTATGTGTATGTCTGCACTCCAGTGGTCTTAATACTGTTTAATAATAGTAATGCACAACTTCATTACAAAAATAAAACAAAATAAATATTCATCTTAACAGGAGCAAAGTTATTATAATTATTTTGATTTGCCTTTTCCTGATGGTTACTGGCCCTGGTCATTTTATTATATATTCATTGGGTATTTATATTTCTTCTTTTGAGGAGTATCTATTCAGGATCTTTGCCCATTTCTTAACGAGATTGATTGTCTTTTGAGTTCCTGATGTATTCTGGATACTGATCCTGTTTTAGTTAAGTACCTTGAAAATATGTTCTCTTATTCTATCATTTTTTTCCATTCTATTGCTGGTTTCCTTTGCTGTGCAGGAACTTCTGAGTTTATATAATTCCATTTGTCTAGCTTTACATTTTCTTTTGTGGTATGTTCCGAGAGATCATTTCCTATACTAATGTCTTAAATTGTATTCCCTGTTTTTACTCTAGCAATTTGATAATTACAATATCTTATATTAAAGTTAGATATTTAATTCATGTTGAATGGTAGCAATTTATTTCATTTTTAAGCACATGTGTATATGGCTTTGCCAGTATCAGTTATTGAAAAGACAAATATTCTAAATATTTCTGCTAATGCTTTCAATTAAGACAGATGAAAGGGACATCACTGTTTTGCTAAAAAAAAAAATGGGGGAAAACAGTTTCAATTTTTCCCTATTGAGTATAATATTGGAACAGATGGGAACATTGCTGTATGCTAGAACATACTACCCACAGCAAAAGTTGAGTTGTGGGAAGCAAATTAGACTGTCCCTAGATTTCAGAAGGCAAGTGTGAATGGCATTGTGTTTATTAGTACCACCAACTGCAGTCTTAAAGCTGTTGGAAATATATACAGTGATCTCAGGTTTGTAAGGTTGTTTGTAAAGTGTAGTTCCTGATGGGCTTATTCACTATTAATCTTGAGCCCTGAGCTATAATACAGAGAAAAACTGCTTAAGTTTCACAAGGTGAGTTTGAGATTGTTCATTGAATGCCAAGTGTCCCGAACCATGAGACATGGAAAGGATGATTCTCCAAGTCCCACAGTATGAGCAAGTGT